CMMYCCYTGTGCAATCCCAAGTACAGACACTTCGATGTGCAACCCAGAAAATGACCCATGTTCACCCTAYACACATATTACTACTCAGTGAGATCAGAAGATAAAAATTTAATACATCTTCTCCATAGTTAGCTGGCAAGATTAGGCATTTCTAGTGAATTGGGACATATTGCAAAAGCAGTTGATGTTTTTATACTCCATTAATCAAGCAGACCTGATTAAATAGATTCCAGGGCTCAGAGGCTTGTATCATTGAAGAAATTTTTCTGGAGTTGGAAAAATTGAGTCAGTGCAAAAGAAAAATCCAGAATGACACAAGAGTATGCCTTTGTGATATATAAATTTTCTTTTCAGCTTTTAGTATATGCATTAGTATGAAACTTCATTTTTTTTAATCCTATATCCATTTCAAATTGCAACTGAAGAAAATGCATYGATTCAAGCCCTCAGCCTAAGTTGATGGATATTTTCTGCTTCTCTTCAGTGCATTTTAAGATAGACTATTTATCTTTATCTTACATTAAACATGTGTGAAGAATCATAAAGCACTTGGAGTGGATAAAAAAATCCCAGAATTCAATGGAATKATTTTTATCCAAACTGCTGAGATTTCTGCATGATGTTTTTCACAATTAGGGATACAGCACTTTCACAGAATGTGTTGTGAACTTGACTGCGTGCTGCAGATAATGTGGGCACTATCTGAACCTAGACAGCAACATAAGCAGTGGTTCAGTTATAAATACAAGTTATTAATTTTCTATCTTAAGGATGAAAACAAGTTCTAACTATAAAATATTGTTTGACTGTTCTTGATTTTGCTTGGTCTTGGCTAGAAGCAAAAGCTGATTTGAATCTGAAGCATTTTCTTTCAGCTGGACCAAATGAAGTCTTCCTTTATAAAGAAACAATTACAAATACATAAGCAACATAATGTATATCACTCAAATTACTTATTGCTTGAAGTTTCTCTTTATTCTCTCCCAAAATCTTCAAGGAGTGGCATTATTAGACAAGCTTCAGAATCCAGGAGCTTTGCAGTATGCTGGAAATTCAGTGATGTATGGTAGATAACAGCAATATCTTTCACTCATAAAAATACTCTTTTCTTCTACTGTTATCCTTCATGAAAATGAAGACACTTAAAGAATACATAGAGATTTTTCCTATCCTTAGTTTAATGAGAAAAATCATAAATCTTGTTACAAGTGCTTTCTGCCTTCCTTTTCTCTTTTTCCACAGTAATGTATCATCTTTCAGCCCAGACAGCAAATTCTTTGAAGAATTGACAATCTGATATAAGGCCCCTATTCTAATTTCAGACTTACTTAGTAAACAATCTAGAAAAAAGAATTTATATAGCAATGTATTAACAGAAAATGCAGCAGAAAACTGGCATAAAAAAGTTACTGGTAAGAAATGTAATGATATTGCCAACTTCAGCTCTATTTTATTTTGTTTACATATAGGATCGTGAAATCAACACAAACATTCACACTACATATAGTGGGACCATTTCAGAATGTTTCAAATTAAGGGAGGAATRTCTTCATTATTTTCAAAATCAACACAGCTCTTCTTAACCTCTGTAACCTTCTCTGGYTGTAGCTTTATAGGTCCCTGTCCAGTTCGTTCCTTTTCTTGGATTATCTTTGTCACATCAGGGAATGAATATTTACTGGGATCCACTTCTAACTTCTCAACTTGCCCACTCCTGAGAAAAGAGGGAAATAAATGGAAAAAAATCTAATTTCAGTGTCAAATAAAAGACAACTGTTTGAATTTMTTATGTAATTCTATAATTCTATTTTGGGTGCCTGTTTATAAACACATTGACYTTGGTATGAGCGTTGTTACTGACTCCAATTAAACCAGGGTTAAGAGTTCCTGTAACTTGAAAATTGATTGCTATAAAAACCGTAAGTGTAAACTCATAAAAGTAATACCAAATCTCTAAGATTTTGTACAAAAGAGTCCTTAGTCTTCCAACTGTAAAAGTTAATTTTTGATATCTGTAATTCCGTTTATATCAGAACATGGTTACTGCTGGTATCACAGTACAAATGGTTGGGTTTTGATGTAAAATAATTTTTTAAAATCTGATTGTTTTAATTCTTTCTTTTTCCTGCTCCTTTTTAACAGTCCCTTCACACTGGCTGTCTATTAATTTTCAGGTGACAGGTCCCTCTTTGGAAAACAGAAATACTTTCATTTACAGAGAAAATATAAATGTAAGAACTTGTTTGCCTTGATCAGCTAATTTTTATATTTGGCAATATGAATATGAGGATATGAATCCTCACCATGTTTTTATTATGAAAAAAAATTAAATTATAAGAAAAGTCAGAGTTTTAACACAATTTTCAGATTTTCAGATTCTATTCCTATTAAGGATACTTTTCTAGATAACACTTAAACATGTGTACAGGCCACTCATAAAGGCAACCTCTCCAGGTCCCATGATGATCAAAGATTTGAAACATACTCTCTGGTTTGCAGCATTTAATTTCATTGTTCTTTTCTAATAGAGGAGCTCAATGATTAAATGGGAAAAAAACTAACCTACTTTCATGCAGTTTGTAACTGTTTACATGAAAAAATGGCAAAATTAAAATTTTATTGTACAATTAAAATTTCTTCAAATTACAGCACAATTCGTACATCTTCATACTCYATTTTATCCTGAGTCACAATTCCCAGCTCAGCATTATAAAGGACAGCATCTCACTCTTCAGAGATGTGAGAAAWCTGTGTTTACCCAGGAGATCAGAAAGGCTCCTTAGAAACAGAACAAACAAGAGGGAGGCAAAGTCACGGCATGACAGAATGAATTTCTCAGATGGCAACACAGGTAATGGAAATTTGTAAATAAAGTATAACAAAAGATTTTAAATGGAAAATACACCATCTTTAGTTGTTAAAACAGAGAGTGTTTTGCAGGGCAGCTTCCAAATTCTGCCAGTGCTTYTCCATCAAGGCTCTGGGAGATCTGAGCCCACACTGCAGGATCTGTCCCACTGAAGGAGAGATGCAGGGGGTCCATGGGAGGGCTCCTCCTCTGCTCCCATGCTGTGCTGAGGAAAGCATGAGTACCAGAGGAGGCTCTCACCAGCCTAACCACCTCTTTCAGCTCTATGCCATTTTTCTAGTACTAAAAGAATTATTTGATGATTTTTCTGAGCAGAAAACAGCCAGAGAAGCTGCCTGCTTTAAWAATCTGGATAAATCTTTTCCAAATAGCGATATAAGCAAAACTCACTCAGAGTAGAATTTTATGGGTAATGAAAACAAATACTTATTCTTTACCCTGAACATTCTTCAATTTATAAAAATAGATTTTTTTTCCTAACATTGCATTATACTATTTCATGAAACAAAAATGTGCTCCATTTGCTGCAACATTCTGAAAAAYGTTCATCCCCAAAAATTAAGGGACATTTTTCTTTCCTATGTAACTTATTAAATGTGCTGTGACCTGGAATCACTTTATCAGCAGCTGTTGGTGAGATTGCAAAGAGAGCAGACCCTGTACAAACTCTTAATCATTTACCACTAATCTGAAGCACCTCAGAAATAGGTTAAAACATCATAAACATGAAAACAAATTAGGCTTAGCCAGTGCTTCCATCACTTCTTTCCTGTTGGAAAATAATTTCCTTAATTTGAAGTATTTTAATTAGCAGTGGTATTTCACATTCATTCAACAGCTCCAAAATTGCACAAATTGTCAGTCATGCAAACACAATCATGGAGTTTGAATATCTTATTGCTTAGTGGCAGAATAAACTTCAGTACAGCAGAAATAAATTAACAGTGAGTGTCATAAATAACAATCCACATTAAGAAACCATGAAAAGTTTATTCCATCAGCCATCTTCAAAATTTCATCAATACATGTAACCAAGAAGTATGTTAGCAACAGGCAACACRTAAAACTGAGAATCATGCACAGGTGAATTTTTCCAGAAAGGAAGTGGTACTTACATGAACATGATCAAACACTCTATAATTGTTTAATAAAGTTTGACAGTTGTATCACAACTGCCATCATACAACTATTGGCTGACAACAAGACTCAGGCTAAAACCACTGCAGCTAAAACACAGATCTGTCCAGGAGCTGCTGCTCTCATCATGTAATCTTATGCAAAAAAGGCTGGGTATTGATGATGTCAAGGGTAACCACCTGAACATTTTTTTAAGAAAGAGTGAGGATTTTTTCTACCTAGCAGTACAAAAATCATCTTGTTGCTGAAGCTCTTCCATGCGCAATTGTAAAACAGTTGTTATGAAAACAAAAATATTACTTGTGGGACCAGATACAGAACAYATCTGAAAATCTCAGTGTTTGCAAACTATTCAAGTTCATCTTTAAAAACAGATGAAGGTCACAGTTTTTGGCACTGCTACCTGCTGCTGAGTGTTCTCTACTTAGAAAATTATGGTCTAAACACCAGAGTACCACCCAAAAATAAATGAAATACTTGCTTTATTTCTGATACTTTTTTCCCTTTGAAAGGCTATTACTACTTCCACACACTTTGATAATGCTTTTAAAGAATAAAATTAGAAGATTCCACAATCAATAAAGTTTTGCAGAAATATAGCAGCCTGCTCAACTATCTGGTGTATGACATACTGAGTATCTTATAATTTGGTATGCCTTGATAATTTACACTTTTGTTTACACAGCCCTTAATCCTCATACTTGAAATTTAAATGATTTGAGAGTTACTTTTTCCTGTTTCAACATCTGAATTTCAATAAAACTTAGATTGCTAGAGATATCTCATATCTTTAGTCCAGAATCATGGTTATTGAGATCTGATTGGAAGTTTCTTTTCTGGTATCAGGATATCTAAATATATTTAGGAATCACAACCAAAATCTTCAAACATTGTGAATTAAACAGGACAAAAAATCATCATTATCCTAGAAACAAGTACTAATAAATCCTTTCCTTGAATAAGAGGAGTGATTCCAGTATACGGAATGACATATTATATTTGAGAGCATAGAGAAAAATCTTTACCTAGGTATGTTAAAAACTGATGGTGAAGGTGTGACACTTGTCATACTCCAGTCTCAACTTTTGAAAATATAAGCTCAGAAAAATCTACTAGTAATCTAATAAGCAAATAATAAGGTTTTAAGTAACTGGAATATTAATTCCTCTTTCATTTCGTAAGAGGCCTTTCAAATCTCCCTACATGCATGTAATCTGAAATGAAGCTCTAACTGGAGTCTTCAGAATCAGTGGGAAGACATGAATACCGGTAGAATCAAATTCATTTTTGAGGGACTAAACTGCAGTGAAGAAGAACTAAAAAATCACTGGTAAATGCTCTGATAAATAAAAGGATGATGGTATCTAGGTCATTCTGTTCTAAAAGACAAATACATTTCCCAAATAGGATTCATCAGACTGAGAATGTATATGTTATCAGTGTCCACACTTCTAAAAGTTAGACAGAAAATTGTAGTCAATGTGACATTTGCAACTTTACTGCTCAATCCCTTTCCTTCATTTGAATAATCACATCAAGGTACTRAATTTCAAACTGAACTTGTCTGCTAACAAGAAAGATGATCCAACATCTGCAATATGTAAATTGACTGAATTTCTACATTTGGCTATAATATCATCTTATTTTCACTTTCACTGTTAAATTTGTCAGCCAAACTTGAAACTCTTAAACACAGGGGAAGCATATATCGAAACCACTTTACTCAAACAAAGTTTTTTCAATGTTATGGAATGTTAGAAAGTGACTTTAAAGTCCATCTCTGCCCTCAGACTTTTGTCCTTGTCACATATGCACAACCAAAGATTATTTAGACCGCAGAGATCAGGAAGTAACTGAACTGTTCTCTGAGAATGCTTTATCCAGAAGGGCAAGTTTTTGAAGCCTTTTCACATTTATTAAAGTTAGGGATTACCAGATGCCTGTGTGCAAATTAATTTTCTAATCACTTCTGAGGCACCCCACCTTTTGCTCTCCTCATTAGTCAAATGACAGAGATGTACACCCTCTGTTTTGATTAGCTCCAGGCCGGTGTGAGAATGCAAATTAATCCATACTTCCAGTAAAAAAACTTTTTTAGTATGTTGCTCAGTCATACTTGACTATACTTTCAGTTAAGAAGTCCATTGAATATACAATTCCTATGATTCCTCCTTTCCCAGACAATATTACTTGCGTTYTAAAAGTTCTTTATGTCTTCATGATAGCTAGCAAGCTTCATCACCAGAAAATATTAATCCTGCAAACTCTTCAACYCTCAAGATATGTGATCAAATCTCAGGTATTTGTCAAAGGCATTATATCTCAATAGAAATGATAAGTGACTTGTTATTTGTGATCTTTGCACACATTTACTCATCTGTCATTCAGGGCACTCTTCAGATGCACTTGGCTTTCTTCACATTAAAATGTTTGTGCTTGGTTTAGATACAGAAGAGAAYCTGGGACCTGAAAGATCACATAAATCCTCTTGCAGTTCTTTCAGATCAGTTTGTCTGCAGCGCCCTTCAGTTTCTGACCTCATCTTACCTCCCTTCCCAGTGCTGAGGAAATGACTCATTTTGTTCTACTGTATTTTAATTTGCAACATGGAATTCTCTCCCTTCCAACTCATCACATCTCTATCCTTCTTTGTGTAAACTGTAAGGATGTAAGACTGGGAGAGATTTTCAGCCCTTCATTCAGTGGAAAGGGAATATTCTGACACTTCACAAGGTCTGCTTCAGCTTCAAGAATACAAATTAGAACTTCTCACTCCCAAAGAAAGATTCTTCCTCTTATATCTACAAATCTTTCCCACAAATTTGTTCTTTGACTCTTCTCCACCAAAATAAACCAAGCTAACACAGGCTCATCCAATAAAACAGAGCTTTGCAGCATGTTTCAGCAACACTGTTACATCTTGAGTGAGACAACTATAGAGAATTTTTGAAATAATCACTTTTATTCTTTATTTCTTAATAAGCAAAAAAAAGCTGAATTAAAACCAAAGACTTCTCCAAGAAAATTAATGTTTGTTTATTACTGAAACTGCAAATGATAAAATAAGTTCTGTTAATGAGTTTTATCATGACGTTTGCTAAAAAAAAGATTGGAATTAATGATATAGTGATTAAAAACATTCAAGTTTTCTCAGTCTCAAGTTCAACATAACCTACAGGTAATTTTATAGATTTTATGTCATTCCCAATTAGAGAAATTTGGTTGAAACTGGATAACCTGTTCAAAGACATTTATGGGTGCACCAGCAGACAAAGGTGGACAATCCAGCAGCATATTTTTCTTTTTTGTTGTCCTTAAGAATCCAGATTAAAAAAAAAATAAAGCAAACAAAATCCAACCAAACCAAACCAAAAATTGCCAAAAGCCATACATTATTCACTGCCATTAAGAACTGATTGCTGAAGAATATGTCAGATTTCCAGCCTGAGGTATTACATGGTATTCTCTACAGCACGTACTGGTTTAATAATCCAGTGTACTCCTGCTCAGGCTAGGAGGGTAAAAGACACTTAGGGCAGTSAGACTTGCAATGCCTAAACTACAAAAATAGAAGTCATCTCTACCTTAATTTCCTTATTTAATTTTAAAAGGTGTGTATAGACCAGAACTTGCTGATTAGCTTTTAATTCTCAAGAAATTGCCACTCCATTGCTTTCCTTTTCAAATTAAACCATTCTCTGTCTGCATTTCTCAACCTCTCAGAATATAAAGATCTACAGTAATAAAAAAAAATTAAAAAAAAAATAGCAAAACAGGAAAACTCAAAAATTAAAGAAAAAAATTGTATTCCTATGAATCTTTTGTTAGTGGAGGAATTTAAATGTGTGTATATTTATATTTAGAGACATTTTGAGAATTATTTCATTTTTTCTTCTTCATTCTTTCTTCTCCAACATGCTAAAGGAAGAACTGTCTAAAGCTGAAGGTATGAGACAAGGATTGTTATGGAACTGTTACTCTTAAAATTTCCAGTATGACTTCAGAAAAGTCAGTTCCTACCCACCTCTGAACTTCCTCTATGCAGCTATGGAGAACTCAGTTCTSGTATCTTACAGCTGAACTGTGAGGCCAGCTCCAGAAAGGAATGGCACACTCAGCTATCACATTAATAGAGGCTTCGTAAGTATAATAGATCAATCTGTCAAATTCCTTCCACAAAAACTTGCCTCTTTGAAAGATTGAAATACAGTTTCATACATAGTCACAGAAGAAATCTCTCATACATGGTAGAAGTAATGACAGTATCATCATGTAATCTAGCTAGGAGTTTAARAGATTTAAAGCTCTGCATTACAGTTTGGCAGATTATATGTCTGACAGCATTTAGMTAAGACATCTGTAGCTGTCAAGTGTAATCACTGTAATGAATGTTCTTCTGTAATCTAAGAGACAACTATTCAGCAAATTTTTAACATCTGGCTAGTCAGCGACTTTTCAGCTAAAGAGGTCAAAACTTACTATTTTTAGGAAGAAATTTTATTCAAAATCTCTTTTCCTACTTCCACTTTTGTGGCATATATTCCTGTAATATTTTAAGCCTCAAAATCTGCAGGAAGCATATTCATAATTACTTAAAACTGCATTGAAATCCAACACAAATTCTTAGAGCTTCACTATGCCATGGAGTATCTTTAGGTCATCAGTTGGCAGGAAAGGCACAATTTCACATTATTACTTCCATGCTCCCATTATTATTTAAACATTTACTGTGTGGCCAAAACTAAAGGCAAATAGAGGGCTCTAAGGAAATACATTTTTCTAACACACAAATTGTTTTCTAAACTTAATTCTTGTAATGCATTTAACACTTTAGTTGTACTTCTATGTAAAAACATCATTCCTTTTGCAAGGAAGAGTCATAGAACAGACTCACAGAACTGTTTGTGTTGGAAGGGAAATTYACAGGCCATCCAGTCCAACCCTCTGCAAAGAGCAAGGGATTCCTTAACTAGATCAGGTTGCTCAGAGTCCCACTGCACTTGACCTTGAATGATTACAGGGATGGGGCATCCACTACATCTCTGGGCAACTGGTGCCAGTGTTTCAYCTTCCTCATTATACAAAAATTCTTTCTTATATCTTTCTATTTTTCTATTTATTGTGTGTCCATAGGAGAGTAACCAGGTTGGTGAAGCCTTGGAACATAAGCCCTATGAGGAACAATTGAGGGAGCTGGGGTTGTTTTGCCTGGAGAAAAGGAGACTCAGAGGTGACTTTTTATCAGTCTACAACTTCCTGAAACATGGTTGTAGTCAGGTGGGGGTTGGTCTCTTTCTCCAGGCAACAACTGGCAGAATGAGAGGAGACAGTCAAAGCTGCACYAAGGGAAATATAGGTTAGATATTAGGAAAGATATTTTTACAGAGTGACAAAGCACTGGAATTGTGCCCAGAGAGGTGGTGGAATCACCATCCCTGGATGCGTTTGAAAAAAGACTGGATGTGGTGCTGGTGCCATGGTTTAGTTGAGGTGTTAGGGCATGGGTTGGACTCAAAGATCTGGAGGGTCTCTTCCAGCTCTAGTGATTCTGTGATTCATTGATTTTGTGATTCTGTGATTCTGTTAACTGATAGGGAAAAATAAGTGGTTTTTTGGCTCTTCATTTGCAAGAGATCACTTTTTAATAAACAGTACCAGAGAGGCTATTAATCTAAAGCTTTTAGACATTCTTTACACTAATCAAYATTTTCATATTTTCAACAATAACATAAAAGAAGCACATTCTGGCATGTGATTAACACACTGAGAAAAATAAAACTCATGCAGAARATAAATAGGAATTACCTTCTTGTGTTTTTTTGCAGTGTATTGCAGTCAGAATGTTTAACTGAAGCTGAAACTTTTTGCTTAGCCAGGATTATTTCTTTAGCCTAAACAAAAATAGACAAAACATAATTCTCATAAAAGTTGACACTTTTGCTTGCAAGCTTTTAAATAATCTTTCAAAAATAGAAAATTGAGGCATTTGCATAAATTTTCTCTTGTGACATTTGCTCTTTCTGTTATATCTTAACCTTCTTCACTCAGCATGAAACAAACATTAGGCAAGCTAAACTAAATTATCTGAATGGAATTATAGTCAAACATTTATAAAATTATATATAAAAGAGTATTTAAATATATACATCTACTTGTATTTAAACATATGCTGTCTTGTTTTGTACATTTTAATAATGTACATTACTGGCTGCTTTTCAGCTCAGGGGTCCAAGTACTTGTTCACACATTTTTATTAAAAAATCAGATGCAGTCTGGACTTCTCATTCTTTACAAAAATGACAAGTGACCACAAACTCCCTCAACTCCTTTGCTAAAGCAGAATCTTAAGTTCAAAGTCCAAATGAATCTCACTTTTCAAAGAAAACATGTTCACTATGATTTTTAGGAAGATATGTTATTGACAAGAGTATCTCATTGCAAAAGAATCTCTTTCCCTTCATAACAATAGCATATGAGAGCAATCCTTTAAGCATTTGAAARGAAGAAGAACAGGAACTATACCAAACAGTTCCATTTATTGACTATTTCATAGCACAATTGATGTGAAAGCAGTTTGTTTCAGAAGCCTTGGGAATTTAGTCTCCATTCTAAATCCCACATGAAATAAAGAGTCTGTAGCTTCTGACAATTGTTTCTGAAAATCAGTGTGAAGAGGCTGATCCCCTCTGAATCTGCATATGCTCTGATGAAGTCTATTTCTCTGYACCTTCCCTCTTTTCTCAGAAGGCTCTCAAGTGTTTGTTTTTTTTAAACACAAATTCATTCCATTGATCCCCTTGGTTCTCATGCTCCTTATTTTTCTCTCAGAGCACATCATGAAGGATGGTGAAGAAACATGCCAATTTTGCACTCAAAAGAAAATACATCCTTGACAAGAACCATCCTTGGAATTTAGGAGGGATTAGGATTTGCYGACCAGAACATCTATCAGTTATCAAATATTGTTTGACTTAAAAAACCTTCTGCTCAGAAGAAGGTGACTACCTCTGTTAAATTAAAAAAAATACTATAATTTTTTCTTCTTTTTTTCACCTGGTGAAGCAGTGGTGAGCTTCACCAAGCCAACAACTGATGGCTCATCTCTTAATGACCATGATCAATGAGGAAAATTGTTTCCCAAAACAGAACTGCCACAGATTGTGGCCAAAGATAAATTTTGGGCTCARTGGAAAGATAACAGTGTGAAATTTAAAGCCTGTGGTATATAGGAAGATGGAGTAAACTAGTATAATGAACCTTTCTGAAAGTTATTCTATAATCCTATTTCTAATATTTATATTTTTGTGTACATTTTTGGGCACCACAATACAAAAAAGACATGAGGTTACAAGAAAGCATCCAAAGGAGGCCACRAGGATGGTGAAGATCTGGAAAAGAAGCTTTATGAGCAGGCTGAGGTCACTTGGTCTCTTCAGCCTGAAGAAGAAGAGATTGAGGGGAGGCATCACTGAGGTGTTCAACATCCTCATGAGGGGAAGAGAAGGGGCAGGCACTGATCTCTCTGGTGACCAGTGACAGGACCTGAGGGAATGGCCAGAAGTTGTGTCAGGGGAGGTTTAGGTTGGATATCAGGAAAAGGTTCTTCATCCAGAGAGTTCCTTGGTACTGGAACAGGCTCCCCGGGGAAGCGGTCACCGCACCAAGGCTGACATAGTTCAGGAGACACTTTGACAATGCTCATAGTGTGACTCTTGGKGTGTCCTGTTAAGGGCCAGGAGTTGGATTTGATGATCCTGATGGGTTTTATCCAACTCAGAATAATCTATGATTCTATGGTTAATTAGAAAACAGAAAGGACACCTCGTTTAAGATCATTAACAAAGTATTCTAGATATAGATGTTTTAAATAAAATCTCAAATCTATTTGAGAAAACAGAAGGAATATATAAAAAATGTATTTTTCTTCATTTTTTCAGTCCACCTTTTTTTTTTGCAATGGCTTTCTTTTTCTACAAAGGGAATTCCTCTGAGTAATAGATTTTCCCTGAAACAGAAATAGGTTCCCTGAAATAGATTTTCCCTGAAATTTATGCTAAAGGATTATTAGATTTCTAGGGTTCCACAGCTGTGCCTCCACATGCCTTTGATGGTAATGAAATATTACTGCATTTACCATACCTAGATAAGTGAGAATTATATAATGTAATTCTATCAAATAACACTGACATGCATAATACACACCACTCCTATTTTTAGATTAATTAAGTAATCTAAGTCTCAYTGATCTTTAAATTTCTAATGCTTTTGAAGGCCTAGGCAATAAAAAGCTGTCAGCATTCATTTGTGACTGCTAATATAATAAAGAATTAATCAAAAGACCAAATTTTTCTCTCTGATTCACTAAAATAAGAAAAAGMAAGTTTTAAAACATGACAGAGGATGTCTCAGAACCCTAAATAAAACCTGCTTGTTAATAACACTGGGGTTTGATACTTTTACTCAGACAGTAATTAAAATGCTGATGTAATTTACTGATGACATTTTATGAAATCATTTATTTAATATGCCAATTTTAGTCAAGTTCTATTAAAGAATCGCTGTTCTTAATTTTCCTGCATCATCTGCAAAGATCAAGCACACAGTTTCAAAATCTGAGAAGCTTCATGTCACAAGTATTTTTCCCAGAACATGAGGCATGTGCAATGTAGTCATTATCAACATCTCATTCATGCAAAATCTCTTTAAAGATGATTATTACAGTAAAAACACTATAATTTGAAAGTGTCGCTTTATTATTTCACTGAATGTTGTGTCCTTCAGTTTCTTTTGATGACTTTCCAAAAAATGTTGGTAGCCTCTGCCTTAGAAATCACCATTCTRTGGTAATTTGTTGTATAGCAAATACTATGGTTAAAAAATGTTTCCAGAATAATGTGAAAATTATTTGCTTTCTTTTACATCAAGTGGAATTTACTATCTCCAGCATCTGTGGTGTCGCAAGGTCATCAGAGAGGCAAGAAAAGAGATTTTCTTTTTCTTTATGAAGGGTAGGAACTATAAGCAGGCTGGAAGATGAATGGTGAAAGGTTTATAAACCTGATCAGAAACTCACTAAAGYGAGTGAAAAATAATTAGATTTCAGACAGATTTCTGTTGTTACTGAGAAGAAGAGATATTTTTAGGATACTATTGCATGAAGCTTATTATAGGACACTATTTTTAGATTAGTGGACAATATTTCAGTTACGTAAGGAATGTACTAGGCCATTTATCTAGTTGCAAAAAAAAAAAAAAWTGATAACTGTTTATCATKAACAAAAGGGTTAAACATAGTGCAATGGAGTAATTAAGCTTGTCATGTCACTGATATAGCCTGAAAGACATTGCATGAATTCTGGTCTTCCCATTATTTTACAAAGAGGAATTCACATTAAGCTGGTGATCTCAAACTAGTACTCTCAAGCATTGATGAGATCAACCATAATATTCTGTAAGAAAAAAATATCTATTGGCTTTCCTGTTGCTAATCATTATACATTATGCCTTTCTTCCTAGATTGCATCCCATTAGCAATAATAAATTTGTGTGGTTTGAGATAATCTGAAGAGGATCTACAGCCCAAAAGTTTAATTGAGCACTCTATTTCAGTCCTAGGCGAAGAAGATAGACTCTGTGACTGTAATATAGAACAATGAACAATAGGTTAGTATCTGTTACATGCAATTGCTGTGAAGTAACACAGATCCATCTTTGGTCAGCAAATCCATGAAGTTCACAGGATCACAGAATGCTGGAGATTGKCAGGRACCTGTGGAGGTCATCTGGTCCAAGCCCTCTGCTCACACAGGGCCCACTTGAGCCAGTTGCCCAAGGGCATATCCTGATGGCTTTAGAATATCTCCAGGGATGGAGGAYTCACAACCTCTCTGGATGACCTGTGCAGGCACCTGGTCACCCTCACAGCTTCCTGATATTCAGAGGGAACTCCATGTTCGGTCTGTGCCCACTGTCTCTGGTGTTGTGACTGGGCACCACTGAAAAGAGCCTGGCTCTGCCTCTTTGCAYCCTCCCTTTAGGTATTTCTGTGTGCTGATAAGATCCCCCTGAGCTTTTCTCTTCCCCAGGCTGAGCAGCCCCAGCTCTCTCAGCCTTTCCCCACAGGAGAGGTGCTCCAGTTCCTTCATCATCTCTGTGGCCCTTTGCAGGATYCCCTCCAGTATGTCCATGTTCCTCTTGCACTGGGGAGCCCAGCACAGGACACAGCACTCCATGTGTATCTCACCAATGCTGAACAGAGGGGAAAGATGGCCTCCCTCCACCTGTTCAAGACACAACTGTTCTATTACAGAAGAGGACACTGCTGACTCATGTTCAACCTAGTGACAGCCAAGACTCCCAGGTGCTTTTCTGCAAAGCTGCTTTCCAGGATCCATTGACAACAAGAGACCACGCAACATTCCATTCATGCATCTCTTGCYGTGTCCAAGCTACTCAAGTAGTTTTAACCAAACCAAGACCAAGCTGAGAACATCAACCCAGTTATTCTATAGTGATTCTCTCTTCTCATGTCTTACAAATGTCTGAGAATCATGTATTCTGAGATGAAGCTTGCTCCAGGTAAAATATGTAGGTGTAGCTAAAATATCATGGTAGGTTAAATATAAAGTTAATAATGGAATAAAAGCAGTTCTCAATCACAGTATGAACAGAGAATATTCATTTTGCTGATTTAAGTATGACTTTATAGGCAGGCAGCAGAGTTAATATATATCCAGAAACTCCTGGAAATATTTACATTTTCTAAGGCATTGATCATCCACACAGAGACTAGTAAAAAGTATGAGTAATAAAAGCAGGTAATGAGATGGAATACTGATAGTACTTAAAATATCCYAAAGACAACTAACTATTAGACAAAACTATTCATATACATTTGAAAATTACACTATCCAAAATGGCAAATGTCAAGGCCTCACATTCAAACAAATTTATGAAAACATAAAATCTCATTGGAGTGAATTTTGRACATTAAGAAAATATGTACCTTAACCAAATAAGTACAATTTTCAGTATTCTTCAAGTTCTTGGTAAAACTGTGTGTTTGGTGCTAGAGTAAGTTTGTGATTCAATGAGAGGCTATCTTCATAGGGAGAGACAGATGCTATGGGACTACAGTGTGGAAGGGAATATAGAAGGTAATAACCACAAATGGAAAAAGCCAAAAGATGAAAAATAACTTTTTATTTAGACCTACTAGATGCATAGTATTAGAATTAAACCAGAGCACAAAGAGAAAGATATGACCCCATATAGTAGATGAAGCTAATTCACTTAAATTTCTTCCTTCACAAGAAAATGCTTCATTTGATACATTCTGGCAGAGTCACACATAGCAGCATGTCCCCTGCCCTTACACAACAGAGAAACTTCCTGAAGGCCAGAAGGGTAAGGCTAGAGAACTAAGAGATTATTTTTTTTTTCTAGAATTATCCTTGTGAAGAGTTACCCTATTCTGAAAGTCAAAAGTGTAAGATGTAGCCCTAGAGGCCTTAAAAGCAGYCCAAACCTCCAAAGGCATAACAGCAGGAGATGATACAGTTGATTAACTTCTCCCTCAGCACCCAGGACTCCACCTAAAATCCGTTCTCATCTCTGGAACTCTACCTCCTGAAAACTTCCAACTCTCTGTCTGCTCCAAACAGTTTTAGATGAAATACCATGTTGCTACAACCTTCTTGCTCTATGATTACAATAGTTTGTACAGCTGGTCAGTGGATCCCTTCCAGCCAGGGAGAGCACGAAAGCAAAATGAATTAAGAAACTCTTGCTCCAAACGCCTGAGACATGAGAGTAGTGCATYATCCCTTTATTTGAACAAATACATAACCTTCATACATATGTGTGCCACACAAATTCTGACAAAACTGATTTGCTTGTATTATTTCACAAGTGGAAAAAGAAAGTAGGTATGTTGTTTATTTTCATTAGTTAAAAAAAGCCATGTTCTTTCACATTTGCATAATACTGCATGCTTAGCATAGTCTCWTTTAGCTTATAAAAAGCTGGTTTTGTTTAAAGGAAATACAAATTTCTCTTAATACTGATTTTCATTATGATTCTTTAGAGGGATTTTAAATACTAAGGCTTGGCTCTACAATGAAATTGTCCTTATGCAATGTCCCTTTTTTGGAAAACATGCCCTGATGGGAAAGGCTAGATTGCATATCTTTAGCAAGCCAGATGTTACCTGTAWCTCAGACACATTCCCAAAGTACCCACAACATTTAAGGATCTCTGTGTGATGTCTTGTCAGACTATTTTGCATACCTTTGGCATGGTGACAACTAAATGACCAGTTGTTTGTGATCTTTTTGCAGAGCTGCTGTCTGGCTTCACTTCCTCAGGGAGCACAAGCTGAAATGGCTAAGAGACAACATGGTCTTGAAATATATCATGCTAAAATATTTTTTTCTTTCTTTCATATGGACAGAACAAATAAAAAATCACCACTCTCACATCCTTTGATTTTAAGGACACTGCAGGTCTAAATCTTTTCACTTTGTGTAGGGTATTACTAATCCTAATAAATTATGCTCAATAGCTTTTACTTACGAGTCAGATGTATGTTCCTGAACTGCTGCCATTCCTGAAGTAGCATTTCAAAAGAAGGTTATAAAATGATGCTTGACTTATATTAGCAATTAAAKGAGAAAGATTATCCAGTCTATTTAGATGTAAAGCAATTCTCAAGTTTTGTTTATGCAGTTGGCTCAGTCGAAAATAGAGATTTTGGTTTACTGTGGAAGTATTTTGAATTTTTTAAATGATGATAAAATTAAAACTACTGAGAAGAGAGAAAACTGRAATGACATTTTAAATGCCCTTTCAAAAGAATATACATCCATTGGTTTCTGTCAGCTATAAATTCCTGATTGTGAAATTGCTAAATTCTAGCCTAGAGCAACTACGAAGCTCTCTTCTAAAGTGAATTATGGTACACTGTGGGGGGGGAATAACAAGAGAGGGTTAGAAGGAAAGTGGAATTTTATTTCAGGGTTTGCACATCTTTTGGTTAGGACTTCCACAGTTTATGTGTGGTCCAAAATAATGCAGGTATTGAAAGAACATTCTTTCTGCATAGATGYAAATAACTGGTAACTTACAGAAGTCAAATCCAGAGTCCACTGAATAACTGTATAACTATAACTCTTGCTTTGAAATGAATTTAGCAAGAAATCACTAACCTTTCCCTTCACCAGTACTCGTATGTAAGTTGGCTGCACATCAACATCAAGTWGAGAAGTGTCCAAATGCCTTGAGAATGAAATATAAATAAATTAATCAATTTACAATAGACCATATAGTTCTTCCAAGACTTTACAGTTTATACAGCACAAGCTTAAATTTTAGTTATTAAGTTATACAAAATACTATTAGGATTTAAAGTTTTGGGGGGAAAAAGCCCACAAAATTCCCATGAATGTCAATTAAAATAATGTCTAAATTCTGTCAAGTCCATGACATCAGCTATTGTATAACCGCAAGAATTCAAAAYCCTTGAGGAAAACAAAGAGGTCTTTCATCTGTTAATTCATTGCTTTACAATATCAAAATGAATCTATGTGATATTTAAAATTGTGAAAATATTTTGCTACTTTTCCTTCTAAGGCTTTACTAATAAATTTATAATAGAAGTTCCCTTTTTTTGTACAGAATTTTCTGGAAAATAATGAATAGAAGTACTTCCCATTCCCAGAAAACACAGTGRTTTTAAATCTTTCAAACAAAATTTCTGACCTGTAAAGCTCCCCTTTAACATCTGCTCTTCACCATGTGACACCTGACATGACTCGTGATTGCACAAGTACCTATTTCCCATTTCCCTCCTTTTATAAAATTACTTTATAGGTGAAATTTTCAAATGTTTTAGTCTGCATTTCTTACAAGTGAGCRCAGAGTATTAAAATATGGACTGCCCAGAGTCCCAAAGTGTTAAAGAAATGACTGGATGTGGCACTTAGTGCCATGGTCTAGTTGACAMGGTCATGATGGGTCAAAGTCTGGACTCAATGATCTTGAAGATCTTTTCCAACCTAAATAATTCCGTGATTCTGCAGTACATCCAGCGACTTATTGCACCTGAATAGATTTTCTGGGGTTCCGTAAAAATTCTGTATCTTACAAGTAGATACAGAGGTTTGCACAGAAACATAGAGCAAACCTCTTCGGAGGGAAATTAATGAATTTCAGGGGAAGAACACCTGGCATGAATAACATCTCTATGCTATAAAACTAGTTCAAATTTTATGTAACAAGTTTCTACTATGAATAAGTAAAGTTGTGTATTTCCAGGCCCTTCCTGAAGAATGGAAAAGGTCATTGCATCGTTTAGCAGTATATGTACTATCAAATAGTTATCTGGTCTCCTTGTCATATTTTGGCCCGGTTCAAACAAAATTTCTTCCAGGCAATGCCCTGGTACAGTTCAAGAATTAACACGAGCCATGGACTCTTTCCASTAATCAAGGAAAATAGGACAAGGCTACCCTACTCTGTCTCAGRGAGAAGAATTTAACTAGAAGCACATGAACTCCACTGGAGCACATCTAGGGCTAAAGAATGAGAAWAAAATCCCACTCCCTACAGTCCTTATCTGCAAATGAGAAATGGAGAAGATTTTACATAATTATAAAAAAAACAAGTATGGGAGAAACCTGCCTCTAGACTGCAGAAAACATCAGCTCCCAAATGAATTACTAGACACAGTCCCAAATTAGGATTAACAGAACAGTCAAAGGGGCCTTTGTCTTACTTAGCTTCACTTTGTTGACACAGGCTTCAAGATTGGTTCAACTATCCACTATGTTATTTGTTTTCCTCTTGAAAAGTCCCCATTAYAGAGAGCAGTATAATTGAAACACTGTGTATGACATCTTATGWGTGGCAAAAATGAAGAGGAAAAAGAAATCTGACCTGTAAACAGCAAGATCCAAGATGATCTGGTTGTTTTCTTCATCATCTTTCAAAGAGAAATGAAGCCTWATAACAAGAAACACATCCAGGATAAATACTACTGGAGTGAATAAGCAAACATTACAGCATACTTCAAATGTTAGCAATTWTAGATGAATACAAACACCATTTACACAATATGCCATGTAATCCTTTTAGAAACAGTTGCAATTTGCCCCATGAACAGAAAAAATTACTGGCAWTTGAGTCAAGGTCATTGTTACATTTATTTTGTGCTTTCCCTACTCAAACYACAAGAAGAAAAAAGCCCTCTGTTGAAGGTCAGTTAAAATTAAGCTTATTCTGTCAATGCAGAACGAGAGACATCTGCTGGTGAAACTTGCCTGCTCCATTACATTTTCATAGGAAAAAAACAGTTCCAAAATGCACRAAAACCACAGAACTTTGTAATTCTAACCTTATGGTATGTTAAAATAAAACCCTTTCATAGCAATTAATTTGCCCAAAGTATAAATATCTCTCTGTGCATTTCCAAAGTACAACATGATTTGCATAATATCCTTGATTCTATATTTGCTGAAAATGAGCCTGTAGATTGTACTAGCTGCATGTTTGTGATCTGCTGGCTGTGCTCTTAAAATTGAGAACAAATCTTATCAGTTATAAATTGGCGTCATCTATTACTACAGCTGTAAGTAGTTCTAGTCCAGGCTCACAAATTCTGCTCATATGCTCAAACATCTCCCATGTCTGAAAGTAGAAGAGAACAGAATAAAATCACCTACCAATGAGAAGCTTTTGATAAATTAGTTATTAGTATAAAATGAAAAGGTTTTGCTTAATATAATTGATCTGGTCTATTTCAATGACATTAAAATAGATACATTGGGTTCAGGTAATGGAAAGATGCTCAAATGTTAACAGATTAGATGATAAACTTTTTCAGCAATAAAAATATTTACCAGATATATTTTTCACTCTTTGCTCTCCTGTATTCTGATACAGTCAATTTGCAGAGGAAGTAGTTCAGAAGTATTTTTTAATGGAAAAATGCAAAGAATTACAAAAAAMCAAAACACTTTATTTCCTGTTCAGGATTTTTTGTCTTACTGCATCACTGATTTTGACAACGAACTAACACATGAAGGATGAACAAGAGGACAGAAGAATAAAATTTTCTAGGAGGAATGTTAATCAGAACTGAAGAAGATAAATAGTTTGTCCTCAACAGCCTATAGTCATTTCTCTTGCAAACCTTCCAAAAAGAACATCAGAGAAGCTTGGACATTTTTATGGACATGAGACTTCCACATTAAAGCAAAAACTTTGGAGAACACCATCTGCTTACTTGTAACTGTTTCTTTATGTCTCTCCAATACACTGCCAGATTGCACTGAACAGCTGTGACATTCTTGTGGAAGCCATGACAAAAAATGCTCATTGGTCTGGCTTCATGTGGGCACATCCACAGACTAAATTCAGAAAACTTGGGTGACACAAACAGGGATGCTACTAACAGTGAACTCTGTATTCTTCAAAAAAAGTTAGCTAGAGATTCAGTCTAACWGTCTCTGCTTTTTAAAGGCATAATCAACTTCTATTAACACAAGATTTGAATTATTTTTGGTTTGTCTTTTTGAGACTACAAAAGTATTTTGTGTACATTTTTTTTCAGTCAACACATTTTTACAGAAAAAAGTTCATCAATACCATGGAAAGTATCTCCTGATACAGACAGACCAAACATGACTCTATGTGACACCAAACACGACACTAAATTCTTCCACTACCTTTAATTCTCTCTATTGAAAACTGGGCACTACATATAATTCCTTGAATTTGCAAGGATTTCCAAATTTCCAAGATTTAGAGAGCACTCTTCTTCCTAATGATAAGCATGTTCACAGATTTGGGTTTGCAGTTAAATCAGTCTTAAACAGAAAAATTTCTTCAGGGGACAGCAGACAGGTAAGTGGTCATTTTCTCATTCTAGTCCCCTGCAGGAGGCCCTTTCAGGAGCTGTTTGTAAGCAAATAATGTTTGCACTCTCAGTCTCCTGCTTTCCCTTAGAAAATGAAGGTTTGGTACAAGTGAAACTAATGCTGATATCCCTGGAAACTCATTCCAAAACACCTGAATACCCAAATATTGGGTATTTGTCAATGATAAAACACAAGACACTTCCCTGTATCACCATCCWCTGTTGCTGGAGACCTCACTCAGTGTCAAAGAGCCTCATGCCAGAGAAGCTGACTGTCCTTCCCAATTCTGCCAGTTTTACAGCTGTCACCAGAGGACAGAATGATTTTGTCCAGAAATATTGCTGGGATGTATTTTTCCACATTTAGAGKGGAAAGTGGTTGTTCATACACATTYATCTTCAACAGTCAAACCAGYTAAACTTTTTCCACCATGAGCAAGATACTCCATGAAAGAGCTTTACCATAGAAGGGAAAAGACTAAACTATCTTATATCTTTTACAGAAAATCAAGTTCTTCAGTCTTTAAAGATAAAGATGTTAAGTTAAACAGTCTTCAACATTTATTCAATGAAAACTGATTATTTTTCCAGCATCAGAATATAAATCTAGAATATAGTTTTCCCACAAGGAATATGATACTGCAACAAGAATTTCTCAGTGTTCTTATTTTTGTATTGTCACATATCTTGAAAAAGTTGCCCAAATCAACTAYAAAGAGATTTGTTTAATATCTAAACTTTACATACTTAGGCACATTCACATTCAKAAGTTTTCCTTCCGCAGTGGCCAATTTCCAAGGAGACTTCTCTCTCTTTTTCGATTCCCTTAACAAAACAGAAAGACAAATTGTTTATGGTAATGGCTATTATTATGTTTAATAGCAAAAATAAAAAAGAGGATGGCAAGGGATAAAAATTATCTGGTATTTGATGTTAAGGCTACAGTTTATTTCAGGAACAAAACARATCACATCACATGTCCAACTGCACATTAAGAGCATCATCTAAAGATGAGTAAATGATTTGTAATGCCACATTTTACATGGACAGTAACTTCTTTCACATGTCACAATGTCCATTATCAAACAGAAATATATYAAATTATCTGGTATACTACAAGAAAACAGTGGATGGTTTAAACTTATGGCCCATTTTTCTCATTAGGAACAGTCAAATGCAGCATGAGGTGTTGCAACTGGTTTGATGTATGGACAAGAAATTCTAAAGAATTTCATGCTCACTTGATTACTCTCACTGAAAAAGTGCTTGACTTACCTCCAAACAGCATCAGTCTCTCAATCATTATTCTGCCCTCGTAAAAAGAATTTYAATGATCAAAAGATTACAAGCAGCATCAAATAGCATACAGTAGGACCAGAGCCCAAACATACCRATTATTTGTTGATACATGTATTACATTTTTTGTTGTTTTCTTTGCTCAAAAAATGCAATAGATATTCTGATGTATCGATGATGTACTGATATATTACTTCAATATTCACTATCCATTTCCAGCTATCAGCAGTTAAACTATATCTGACTTTCATTTAGTGCAATGAACGAGCTACCTTAGATTTATCTGCCCAAACAAAGCAGATAACAGGAAGATCATTAGGATTCGTAATACTGTGTAAATGTTTAGATCATGAGCAAGGGAAGGATGAGTAAGGAATCTCAGTAGCATGAAAAAGGAAAGWCTGCTTGCACCTAAGTAAAAATCCAGCTATTTCCTTTAAAAATACAGCACTATAATTGTGACATTGCATTAATTCACTCTTCATCTGGTCAATATGGTGGATATGGCCTCTTCAGCCAGCATATTAAAAAGGAAACATTTGTCAAAAAAAAACCCAACAGCAATGCATTGCTTCTCTTTTTTTCCTGAAGCAATTTCTTATTATATATTTGAGATTAACAGAATGTTAAAGGTGAATCACTAAKGAAGGATAAAAGTATTTTAGATTTAAAACACCCTGGGRRAAAAAAACCCATAAAAATAGTTTTGGTTTATAAATACAATGGATTTGAAAAATAAATAAAAGCACTCAAGTAGAGCTACTGGAACGACTACATTAAACCAATTTATTTCTGTTTATAGTGTTAAATTCTATTTTATAATATAAAWCAGTTTTCATGTGGGATTTGTGGGCTACCAATCTTAATACCTGAATTCCTGCACTTGACAATTAAATGCAAAGTGAATGAACCACCATTCTGTTCTAAAGATGTTCCCAGAAACACCTCACAAATTATATCCTACCTCCTGTTAGCTCTTAAAAACCTGTTCCCAGATGAAATTGTCTACTCATGTGAACCATTTTAAGGCAAATTCACTCCTGTCATAATCATTAGAGTGCACAACTTGAACTTTGCACTGAGCTGAGTAGCCTTGCTCTGGCATTGAGCATCTACAGGAAATGCAAAGCACCTTTCCCAAAACCGAAGCAAAATGAACCAGAAACTATTTTTAACTCCTTTAAATGCCTTGGAAATTTAGAAAAATCCAGAAATTAATTATTCTGTCTCTATTGTAACACTATTTGGACTCTCCTTGAATCCTTAAAGGGAAGCATTTGGAACACATTTGCTTTTGACTAGAGCAAGGCACTTCCAAACATAGCTAAACACGAACTGGCTAGAATCTGGGTTTCACAGTAGTTCTTCCAGGAAAGTGCCAGAACTTGATTAATAATAGCAACAAGTTATGCACATTTCCAGATTTCCTGGAGAGTTCCCTAGGACTGACTTTTTCAATACTTAGACTTGAAAAAAACTTTTTAAAAGCATGCCTTTAAAAAGAACAGCTAAAAAAATTTCTGGTATAAAGTATGCCACATAAGTAAAAGATAAAGAAAACAAAAAAGAAAAATGACATTGTTTACAATGTTTCTGGAGCCCATAAGCCAGCAGCAATAAAATACTGGGATGTTTTGCTAGTATCTGCATGAATTTTGCATGTTCAGCAAAAGCAGTAACAACTTTATAAAATTTTAAAGGCTTTTCAGAGACCAGAGTTCTTCAGATTYACCATGCCAAGTAGCAGGAAGAATCTTATTACTTGTGACAAATATCTTAGATAAMGTATGAGAAAAATTTCTCAGTTACATAGAAAAGGTGCCTGAAATGCCACTTGTTCGGAAAACTTGTAACATGGTCTGTATGACATTTACATAATGCAATCTGCAGTATGGATAAATGCTTTAGGAAGAGTATTAAATGTTGAACTACACAAAACAGTTAGCTTGCAGAAAAGTGAAACTTCAAAACTCAAAAAAATGAAATTGAAAAGAAATTATATTTTAAAAAAAATCTATCTGAGGAAAAACAAAGAGTACCATAAATGAAGTTTAGAAAATGAAAGAAAACAAGTGAACAATATGAATATTTAATTTAGATTGTATAAGCCTATTTTCACATGCAACAGGGATTTAATCTGCCAGTTCTCTGTAATWTTTAATGTCAGGCAGTCACATGCCTGTTCTCAGTACCTTAGACATTCTCTCCTTCAATTCATCGAAGATGTTAAAAYAAAAAAGTACCTTATATTGTCTTTAGCTCTCCGTTTTTCTTCAATGTATCTGTGAGTTTCTAATCTAGATTCTGGGGTATATGGTGTAGGCTCCTCCCAAAATCTTCTGTCTTCTTCATCATTTTCAACTGTTCTGCAAGTTTCCTGTTCTCCATCTCCTTCTGCCTGATTGGGTTTTTCCTGTGGGGAGTCTGGGCTACAAAAATCACTCAAATATTATCCAAATGAAATGAAGGAAGAGCAACAGTACATGCTAATAAATCACTGCAATCATATTTTTTCAACCCAATAATACATGTACAACTTCCACCAAGAATGRTATCTTATATATTTGGAGAACATTCTCTGCTCTGCTTCTCTGGTCMATCAACAAAACATATTTTGATGTAATGTTTTTCATTATCCTGACTAAAAAGTGATAGTACGGCCTTACCTAATCCCCTGATAGATAGAGTTCAACAGATTTAATTTCAGAAGCAGAATTTTCACAACCTTCAGGTGAGACAAAACATTCAGTCCATGTGATGTTTAAGTATTCCCAACTAGGCAGCAACAGATTAGATATTTATGAGATAGCAATGACCATATCCTCAAATGCCATTTTAGCACCTGAATAATTTTTTTCACCTAGTTCTAAGCCTCTGTAATTACCTATCAATACAGAGAGAAAACTAAATTTTCAATACAGGTATGATCTATGAAGATAAAGCTCTGCAGGCAGCACCACAGAACTAAGTGTCTATTGGATTAAAAATAAGATGGATGGCAACTGCAGTAGAAGATGACCCCAGACAAAAATCCTACTGCTGTCTAGGTAATATCAGTGACATAAAGTGGAAGAAGTAAAAAAATCAACACCGAAGGCCTGCAATTTTCCATTTCAGGCTTCAGATCTTATAATGCTAAGGCAAAAGCATTTACAGGTGAACAGCTGCCTTCYCTGGAACCCCTGCATTACCTTAAATAGCAATTTCCAGCTGTTCTTCTGAAAAAAAAAAACTATCAATCACACTATTTTGGCACCCAGACAATTTAGCCTGGAGTTTTGGGACAAAAATTCTATTGTACTGCATTCGCAAGTCAATAATAAATTGTGTTTGCAATTAATTATGTTTTTCATAGAGATAACATGCATGAGAACAAATCATTCTGCTTGAAKCAACAATAAAGAACAATAATATTTAAGTGGCATTACATAAACTCTTTCATTAAAAAAGCCAAACTTCTGARTAAAGAGAAGAATAATGTTTACTCACAAACCATTTTTATTTACTGTTACCTGTCAAATCCAAGCTTAGAGTCCACATRTTTTTGTTTCTTGTCCTTTCTTTCTCGCATACTTCTTTGAGCCTCTTCCTTTTCTCTGGTCCTTTTGAGAAGGTAAGCTTGTTCCTGTTCTCTGATTTTCCATTTCACTTCTGGATAGTTTTGAAGTGCTTTAATCCTCTCTGAACGTTCTATTTCTTTACTATCCAAATACTTCCCAAAGGAGAAAAAATCAATATAAATATGTGAGAAATTATAAACATATTCAAATCAATAAATCTAYTAAATTGTAGGCTAATTTTGATCATTAAATTCTGTATATAATTTCAAATGCATCTTTCACACATCCATAGCACTTTATTAAAAAGAATTAACAATAACTTGCTATTCAGTCCTGAAAGTGGTTTTATGTGTCTAAGATCTTCTTTTAGCATTTTCCAGGAATTTTAATTGGTCTTATTAGACTACAGTAAAGAGAGCCCCTTCAGCCATTTCTGGTATTTGTCTGACCTTGATTCAGCCCAAAAYTACTTCTTTTGATGAGCAAGTTTATTGCTAACTGAGAGAACGGAATCTACTCTTAACAAGTTAAGCAGTGTCTGTGCTTCTCTGAGGGRAATTGTGAGAGCATATTTCAGGCCTGGGATTATTTCACTGACAGGAAATCCTTACATCAATTCAGTCAGAGCACAAAACCACAATCTCAAAGTATCTATTTACAGCCAATGGTGGATTTTTTTACTGTCTTACACTGCAGTTTTAGTACATGTTGTTGGAGTAGTACCAGCAACCTAGTAACTTTTTCAAATCATGCTAATAATTTAGAAATACATTGTATATATAAACAATGAGGAAAAAAAAAGAGCCAGAACTCTTAATTTAACAGAAAAAAAAATTAGAAATTTTGGAAAAAATYTAAAAAAAAACTTCAAGAATCTCCAGTAACAATGACAGAAAAGTTAATGAATATTTGTGGTTCCATCAAAACAGAACCACTTATAATATTTATTGTAGTCACTTATTCTTCAGAATAGAATTTAAATTCCTGTGRACAGTAAGCAAAATTCTACTAGCTTTCCTAGTACAAGTGTTTACTTTGTTTAGGATGAGTATGTTCAGCCAACAGTACTCATTTTTTATTTAGATTTAAATTTAAATTGTATAATCTTACTTTTAATTGATGAAGAGTTGCCACTACAAATTGTCTATAACCTTCAAACTCAGTACATGGGTTACCCATTAGAAACAGTTCCTTCAGATGTATATTGCATTTTAGGGATTCGATACTGGAGAGTTCACCAATGAAATTTGCTGTCAGATCAAGTTTCTTCAATTCTTCACAACCTGTTTGAAAGAAACCTTAATTCAATTTGCCCATAACATAAATGCACACATGATATACATAYATACACTTGAATATAAAGCTGTCTCAATTTGTGTTCTGTAAACTGGTCTCATTCTATCAGAACACATCTTTTCTGAATGAAAGAGTGATTCACAACTAAAGTTTATCAGGTCACAGTATTTATAGGAATAAAACAAAATAAAAYACAAAATACCAATATTATTAGTTTTATCAGTATCAAAACTTTGTGGACTTTTATAGATGAGCTATTAAATGTTTCAATTTCAGAAAAACTGGACTTTGCTTTTAACAGTCTGATTGCCTTGATACCCCTCCTCAACTAAAGATCAATCATATGGCTAAAATCCAGTCCAATTCCTTCAGAACAGCAGGATCAATTATGAATTCCATTTCTGTGCATGGTTAATCTCTGGTAATATTATKCAAAAAAAACTATAAGATTTCCCAAAAATTCACTACAAGTTGGGTTTTCCACTGCTATCATTGGATATCTGGACTTAGCTATCATTGTAAATACTTTATCASTGGTTAAATTGCAAATACKGCTGAGAAAGTGTTTGTTAACTRAAACAATTAATTACAAACAGAAACTCTAAATTAGGTAACAAAATGCTCTTGAAAATTTAATTTATCAGCCTCTCCTTTTACCATAATGTGTTCATTAATGTCCTGGTTTTACTTGGTCCAGTTTTTTGGTGGTGGGGGGATGGAACCAAGAAACCACAAAGACGGCTCCTGTGAGAAAGTTCTGGAAGCTTTCTCCTTCTTCTCCAGCAAAAGGAGCCCTGCCCCTGCGTTTTAGAGCCAATCCATTATAGCTCTGAGGTTGATGGATAGGCTGCTGGTCAGGCCTGGGCCAATTGCAATGCTAGTTACACCTCTGTGATGACGTATGGTCTTGTACTTAAGAAGAATTCAAAACAAGATAGTTTCTGGCTGTCATTAGTTCTTAGGTTGTTAGTATCATGCACTGGGGGAAGATAGAGGAGGAGGGTGAGGAGATGTGAAAAAAAAAAAATGGAGACACAAGGTCAGAGAGAGGCAAAGGAGAAGACAGATGCTTTTTGGTTTTTTCTTTTCTTGCTGTGGTGCTCAACCACATGGAGAAACCAAGCTGTTCTCAAAATGACTATTTCTTCAATGGGAGACCTGTATAGAAAAGAGAGGCCCTGCACCCAAAATAAACAGCCTGGCCTTGGAGGACTGGACTGATCATAGGCCAAAAAGGAGGAAGAGGTGYCCTCTCTCCCACATCAGAAGTGAGTTGATGCTTAGAAGAGACTGTGTTCTGCCAGGAGATTTGAGAGAGTGGCCTTGCTCCCGGAGTGAAACAGCCAGCCTTGGAGGACTGTTTTCSCTTTCTCACACGAGGTAAAGAAAAGAATCCCACGCCACCAGTTCTTGGGAAAAGAACTTCCACAGCTTGTAGTTGTAAGAACGCTTCTCCTATGATGCTGGACGACAACCATAATGAGTAATCTGATCTATGTTAAAACTTTCATACCCTGCCCCCTTGCGCATGGAAGGCATGGAGGGGTGGGGAGGGACGACCTGAGAGAAACAAGTTCACAGAGAGAAAACTTAGTAATAAATCTATTTTGCAACTGAAGTTATTCAGCCTGTCTGACCATTTCTGGGGCATATAACTTTTTTTTTCAATGCTATCGTATCTAAAAGCCATAGATTTTAATGTTAATTGGGCTTTTACTTTCCCCTCTGCCTCTCTGGGAAGGGAAATGTTGTGGATGCTTTGGCTTTTGGCCAAGGTCTAAACCACAAYAGTGAATCATAACCTTGACTCCAAGAGTAAAACTTTTAGCTGAGAGCAAGCTTAACTTTGATTCACATCACTGTAATCACTTTCCTTTCCTGGTCTATTTGCTAAGTTTTATGCACAGTGGAGCTGTAAGAAAGTAAACAATGCAGAACAATTTATTAGGGGATTTAAATAACCCAAATTTGTGCAAGGGCTAATCCCAAAGGTTCTAACTCCTAAGTAAGTGACAGATCACAGTAATAAATTATGCAGCCTGATAGATGAATTTAAAATTTAGTGGCATGAAAACAAATGCAGCTTTCTCAACAAATTCCCAAATATGTACTATATTACCTATTTCTTCAACTTTTTCAAACTTGTATTTAGACTATTTGCTTCTTATTTAAGCCATCCTCTTGAACCAGCTTGCAGACTTAGAAACACAAACTAAATCAACCAACAACCCAACTAACCAAACAAAAGAAAAACAAAACAAAAACAAAACATACACCCACAAAAACCAACCAACCAACCATCCACCCAACCATTTGCTTAGGTTTTTGTTTTTTTTTAACCTTGACAAAGTGGGTATCTTAAAAAATCAGCAACTGGCCTAATCAGAATCAAGAAATACAAAACAATCAAGTCATATATTATTCAAGTAATATAGATTGTGTTTATGGGCCAGTCTTAGATTTTAATTTTGGAAAATGCCCTATCTTTGCGCTTGAAATGTGCAGAAGTGACAGGATAAAGGATTAAAAACAGATAAAACAGACAGGATTTCAAGCAATGAAAGAGAAAAGAATCCTCTGAAAACCTCTTTTTAAAAAAAAAAAAACCCAGACCCTCAATGCAACCTGTTCTCAGCACAGATTCCTTGTGTGYGACACTTCATTGCTGAACTGGAGATGACTTGAAATGTGATCCACAGACATTTAGGAAAGATCAATGAGAAAAATCCAGCAGTAGGAAGCACTTGCTACAAAGAAGMATTTATTGAAACCCTGCACCCAAAGAGGCTCTGAGTATCCACAAAATACCCCTACACGTGGGCATGCTTAATGGCTTCCATCTTCTTCCATACCAAGTCACAACTTTAGTATTCTAATATGAAAAGAAAAAATGGCTTGTTCAAAATCTGACCTTCCAGATTTTCAATTCTTTCAATGTTATTCAAAGCCACATTTAAATATTCCAGCTTCTTTAGTTTGCCCACATTTTCTGTAACAAAACATAGATCAATTATTTCAGTTTTCAGCACTGGAAAGGGCATTATCATTTTACTAGGTCACTTTACTTCAAAGCAACATAAAAGAAGAAAAGTAGGAAAGACAAATATGTATCGCATTACTGGACATTGACATTTAAATATTAATAAAAAGACAAAACAAAAGTTTTCTAAAAACACAAAATAAAAAAGCAAAAATAAATAAAGAAAGTAATAAGCCAGTTTTTTTCATCGCAAATCCATAAAACACATATCTTATTCAAGAGGAAGGGCTAAAAAAGCATGGTAAGATATTTYGTTTTTCAGGAAATCAGAGATATGTTCAAATTTGGTGACATGAAACCTAGCACAACTTATTAAGAACATGGAGAGGTGCTTTCTTCATAATTCACAAACAAATGATCACATTAATCTCTCAGCAAGAACTTGTGCAGCATAGATTGGAGGTTTGTTTTTGTTACAATATTTCTGTAACAACAGTGCCTGTGCACATGATGATGTGAGAGAGCTGAGTGCTGAAGCCCATGGCATCATTCACAGCCACAGAGGATGCCTGGCAGTCCACTGCCTGCTTATGAGGCAAGGCTGATCTCAAGAGCTGCATAAAGGCTTTTTTTAAGAAAAGAAAAGACACAGTCCAACAGAGCCAACATAAAACATTTTGCTGCAATACTCAGAAGTGTGCTTGGAACTCCTGTGTCTTCTGCAAAGACATTTTGYATCCACTGGGTAGAATTTCTTCTCAAGTTCAATACTTTCTAACACTGCCCCTGATGACAAGGTTTTTGGTCACCACTATAGTGTGGGGTGGGGTTGCTGGTGTTTATTTTGGTTATTTTTTTGTTTTGGGGTTGGGTTTTTTTTTGTTTTTTTTTTTGCATTTGTTACTAAGGTATTACCTTGGAAAGCTGCTACATTATACAAGAATATATGAATCACTAAGTTGCATACTTTTTCAACTCCTACRTTAGATTATGTTGAGATAAAAATTGCTTGTCTCAAAAATGAAATTGCCAAAAAAAAAAATCTGTGTCCAAAAAAGCAACAATATGAATATGATATCCTGGACTAACCTGAAGGAGGCCTGAGTGTTGACAGAAAAACCACAAGATGAAATCTTGTGCCTTAGGAAGGACACATTAACAGAGAGAAAACCAACATATTTTAGTCTCTCTTTTAATGGGGCAAAGAAGCATAAAGCAGTTTAAAATAACTTATTCTCTCTGGGAGAAAATTCCTCCACTTTAGGAAATGCATACGTTATCAGTAGTCTCCTCATGAGTCCCTTGAGACAACTTAAAGAATTTGCCTGCAAGTTCTGAGCACTTTAACCCTGAGAATTTCCCCCTAAAACCTGAGTATCTTTTTCTTCCTCTTAAGGAACTTCAAAGAGATATACTAAYATAATTTCTGAACACTTCCAACTTTTCGTTGTTCATCTATACAATATCTGTAGAATCTAAGCTTTTCCAGCCCAAGACTTGATGTTGCATTTTTCAGTATAAAACACCTAGACCTATTCCACAAAACTAGACCACATGAAATTTTCTCTTCTGTGGTGCAAGAAGACAATTAAGGCTTTGTTTCAGAAAGTTTGCTTCATGCACAAAAGCAAGCATTTTATCTGAATAGAAATTATTTCAGTGCTAACAAAACAAAATGATTTGCATAAAAATGGAATTTTAAAATAAGCCTGAAAGAGCTAAGCCTATGATATCATGGTCAATGGTAYATGTTAAATTCTTTGTCTCTCTGTTTGCCACAAAATGGGATATTTAAGMAACATCTTGATTTTTGAAATTTCAATCAATAAAATTGATCAAGTGACTTGCATTTCAGTACTATCTTTTTCATTTTAAATTCCCCTTGCAAATTTCTGAGCTTCTTAGAAATTAAATACAGAAACCAGAAAAGGAACTCTTGTTAGGAGCACATTCCCTTAATTATAACAGAATACTTTTTTTTTTGCATGATTTCGAAATTATGCATGTGAATCCATTTTAAAAGAAACATATAGAGAAAAGACTTACCAATTTTTGGAATTAGATTATTTTGAAGATAGAGAATTTTTAAATCTCTACACCATTTGTCAAGGTGCTCTAATTTTTCTATTTCTTGCTGATGTAAAGAGATTTCTTCCAGTGAGAAAATTTCACAGTTGTTATGTTCCGCACGTCGTCTAACAAGATCTTCAGTGACTGAAAGAAACATTAAATGTCATATTACCCTTTAGTAATTTTCTGCCATCTGATTTACGAGTAAATTAAAAAATCATTAAAATATTTTGTCCCACCATATCAAATAGACAAGTAGGAATGACAACAAAAATAAAATCTGCAAGAAAAGATAACAAGATATCAAGTACCAAGCAACTTCGACCCACTCTGCCACAGTAAACATCTTTTGTGRAACTTGATCACGTCACCTGTAACATTTGGAAAAATCCACATGAAAACTGCTGAGTCTTCCAYAAGAATGTGATATAACCCTTGCAGAAATTAATTCAGCAGCCACTATTTTCAGCATAGCTTGGGTTGCAGATTGATTCATGTAGACAAGCAGTGGAGTGTTTTATGCTGTTTTATTTCCAGATGCCAGATGTTCACACCACAGACAGCAGCAGGGGATGGGGGAGGGGAAAAAAACTACAGTGTCTTATAATATTCTTCACAGTGTGCAGAGAAGTTGGATTTGCGGGCTAAATGTTGAAAGTAGGCAGATATTTTTTTTTATGGCAAAACCATAACTAATTCATGTTGATAAATAGCAATACTATATTAGATATATAACTGGTATGTCTTAGGCACTACCAGCTCATGAGAGCCAGCAAAGGAGTTTCAGTGGCTGAAAAACACCAGAGACCTGGGTTCAGCATTACCATGTTGTAATATTTAATGCCAGGCAATATTTCAAACAGAGAAAAGGTTCTGTATAATGAAGGTAAAGAAATTCTGCAGGAAACAGTGCTCTTAAGCTAGATCTTTGTTTCCAGCACACTGCACCAAAAAGAGACATCACTTTCCTCTCCTTGACAAGCACTGAACYACAGTGAAGTGCTGAGGAAAAAAATAGCGTTTATCAAGCTAGCATAGGTATTTTCATGATTTTTAATGCTGAAAAAAATACGACAAAGCCTTTCAAAAAGAGTCTGAAGAAATATAAGTAAAAATAAAAATTATATCAAGATATGTGAAAACAAACCGTTCCTACCATGCATTAATTAAAAGTGTTCTTTTACTTCTCTGTCTTGGGGAGACTTTGTGAAATTATCCAGTTTTATTAGTGGTCCTGGAATGGCTACACACATTCCCACAGACCAGCAAACTATGTACCAATAAAGCTCAAACTCACATGTGTCCATGCAACTTCTCTGTCTGCAGTCTTTGGGAAAGGGGTGAAACTGGTTTTGTTTATATTACTTTATTTATAGATGTCCAGGCTTAAAGCTCCCTTCTGCYCAACAGAGTTTCACCTGACAGAATTATTTTACAGAATTAAATGCGGAGATACAGCTATTGATCTAAGAAGGGAACTTGTCTGCACGTAAATCATATTGGGAAAGGTAGGTGTCTTTGTCTCTTTTAACCACGTTGAGCAGGTTTGCTGCATGTGAACAATCATCTTCCCTTCAACTTGAACTTGATTAAAGTAACACAGAAAAGAGAAAAAAAAGAGTCAATAATCATGACTAAATACTTTAGTCTTCACAGTAAACATGAAAAAATTGACATTTCTAATAAGTTACTCAGCAAATCTGCTGGAAATTAAAAGAAAAAAAAAGTATCAGCCTACTATTGAGCTTGGTGGCAGATTTTTCAGTGCCGCTATTTTCATGTAATTTTGAGCAAGAAAACAATACCCCACAATCTGCATACATAAACATTGGTGGCAAGATTATGTTCCATACCCTTTAYACAAAAAGAAGTCATACAAACTATTCCTGACGGCTTAATTACCATCCAATTTTCACTTGCTGGTGAAAATTGAAATTATTGTTGCAGCAATTCTGCACAAATGTCCACTTTCATTAGTAGATGATTTGTAAAGCAGAGACACTCATTCACAATAGAAGCTACAGTGAATCTTTAGAAACTTAATTTGGGGTCCTGTTGYAGAAAACTGCCTGAATATTTGACTTTTTGTATAAGATCTAGTTCATTTAAGAGGAATGAGGGAAACAAGCTTGCAAGAAATAACAATAACAAATATCAAATAAAATTTTAAATAACAGCATTTCCAGGACATTGACAAGACACACTAAACTCACTGAGACGCTCATTAACCAGATTTTCTGGTGTTGTGTGCAGTAACAGGAGACTGCACCAGTGACCTGAAATATCACAGCTACTCCAAGACTCCCATGARCACAGGAGGAAATAAAGGATAGCATCAATCAAGTGGAGAGAACAGAACCTGAGGTTCTAATGCCTGRGCTTTCAAAAATGACATGTTTTACTCAAGAAAGGAGGCAGATATGAAGGCTAACATTAAAGAAATTTAAAAAATAAGCAGGTGGACAGAYGCAGGTATACCACAAAACAGTGGGGGATGTTGCATTTCAGAAAAGTGAAGTATGCAACCATTATTTTAAGACTCAAATTCACGCTGTGCTGTTCAGGAGATAAAGCCATTCTCCTTGAGGCAGTACCTGCTCCAAGAGGGCACCTGCCAGCTTCAYGCAGGGAGAAAGAGTTCCTGTCCAAAGCACTGCTTTAGCCCAGCATGGGACTGGCAGGCCGATGATAATATACAATCAAAACAGATTACAAGAAAAATCACAGAGGAAAGGAACTCCTTTTTCATCAGCAAGCTGTGTGAGCACTCAGTTTTTTGGGTCATACTGCTGTGCCTATAAAAGATAATCCACTAATAAGTAATTGAGTATTTGACCTCATTTGTTTTGGTTTATTTTTCACATCAGASATAAACCATCCGAACCAGCATCTCCCCTTAGAGAGAGATGGGTGCCCACCTGGGCCGCCTCATTTCCCACTGCTGGCCCTCTTGGGGGCTGTTCTGAGAGGCAACTGCACCCTGGTGCCCTACATGGTGAGATWAAATGGGGTGTTATTGCCAGGAAGGAGGAAAACCTGACAATTAACCAAGGGAGGCAGGAGGCTGCCAGGGGAGTGTGGGGATGGTGGGGAAGACAGGCAAGTGTGGAGAGAGRGAACATGAATCAGAGATTGTTTAGATTGGAAAACACCTTTAAGATCATCAAGTACAAMCCAGCACTGCCAAATCCATCAAAAAACCATGTCCCTAAATGTAACAACTACATGAGTTTTAAATAACTCCAAGGGTGGTGATTCCACCACTTCCCTGCTCAGCCTGTTCCAGTGCTTGACAACCATTT